AGCCCTGTAGCAGATTGTCCCGCTTACTTGTAGTTGGCATAGGAGAAACCAAATTGTTTGCAACCCTACGTCAATTACTGCCAAGAAGCAATGAAACTTGAAAAAGTACAATGCAAACCAGAAATGGACGATGCTCACCTTCAAAATAAAAGTAGCAATTTAACATCATAACTACCATCTTTCAGAACATGCAACTTTTCCTTCGAAGGACGACAGTCTCAGTTTCACATTTGTGCTGCACTTTTCACTATCACTCGGCAAGCAGTTGGCAAGTTTTTGCCAACGTTTCCATCTTCCATGCAAACCACAGGTGACGGCAGCAACGTGTTGGGGCCAAGGTATTCACAGGAGGTTTTCAGTAAAGTTTATATATCTTTATTGACTGATTAGAAACTTCCAACATTTGCCATCTGGCTGGGGATTACACATTTTTCCTAATCGACAGATGGTTGCCAGGGGGTTGCTGTCTGGTCTCTAGGCCTATGCGATTGGGGCTTTTGTACACATGTTTGTGTTTTTAAATCAGCCTTTATATCTAATGTACCCTATCCTCAGTCTGTTCCAACAAACATTCGACTGCTATTCATAAAAAGGATGTAAGAATACTTGCGTTATAGTGGGTTTTTTTATCCACATCCACAGACTCAAAAATATGTTTTTAAAGGGGAATGTCTTGTTCTAACAAGTAAAAACCTCTGCATGAAGACAGATGAAAAGCTTGATAACTCCTGTTGATTTTCATGGCCGCAGGATGACAGCAAAACAGAACCAAGGACATTTTCAGCTTTGCAGGCAGACACAAATACTCAATAGGCAGCCTTACAGTGGAAGAAACTCACTGTAAAATTCGGCCAACTGAAGGGGGGGAAGAAAAAAAGAATCAAGGCCAGCTGTTCAATCAATTAAAGTGAAAAAAAAACTTAGTAAAAAGGTAGAGTTTGGCACAGAACACTGAATAATTGATCTCGAACCCTTAAGACAATTATGATATGTATTCACTTGATGATTATCTTCTCTGGTAACTTTTGTGGTGTGAGGTTTTAAAAGATTCAACCCTGAAGTCTCTGATCTGGTTTCTCAAAGACTACAGGACTTGTTTGATAGAGTTCTTTGTGTCATACAGTGTGTGGGAGTCACCGACTGATTCTCAGCAAACAACCTCAATAGCCAATTAGAAGCAAGCCTGCTGCTACTTACTAGACTAGCTGCAAGTTATTTGATTGATTCAGAACATCTCTAGCCAAGATATATGCAAAATACTGATTCATTTATTAATTATGCATGCCTGCTGAGCTCATCCACACATACACACTTACAAACAATAGCAGGTGTCCTGCTCGGGAGTGGAGATCTGCAATATTCAACATCCTCAAGTTAATTTTTCAAACTACATGAGCTGTTTTTCCTGCTATGGATTAATCCACATCTCGTTTTTTCTCAGTTATATTGTTTCATCTTTGTGCATATCAGCGTACACACAAAAAGCAGCTAGTCGAAAGTACAGCAGGATAAAGCGAGATTTTGTGAGATCCCAGGTTCTGGTGCTGGCAAGGCCTCAATAATATGCAATGTGTGGTATGTTGCCAAAACATGCTGTGTGTGGGTTTGAGAGAATAAAAGAGACGTCTTACACAGATCGAAATAAGAAAATCTTGTCTGCCGCTCAGCTCTGTGACTCAAAGGGAGATGCGCATACCCTTGCAAATACGCTTCCTGTGCAGAAAACTAGTGTGGCAAAGGGCAGACACCAAATCAGAGTCAGTTACCTCAGAGTTGAAAAGCAGTCTCCCAAAGAGCTGCCGGGCCTCTTCCAAGCCTCCTTCCAAATACACGGCCCCTGAAATGAAAAACAGGAAATAAGAAACTTACTTTATTTAGAGGTGTGTGCAAACAATGTAGCTGTGCTGCAATTTGTGAACCTTACTTTGTACAACATGTGAAATGTTATTTAACATTAGTGTGAAAAAGCACGTCCTTCCACCAGTGCGGTGTAAAAAACTTCTACCAAATCTGAGGCAATATCAGAGTTCTTTGCTAATGGAAAACTTAAAATTAATTGAACTCCGCAATGAGTTATAATTGCTTTTTTAAAAGTAGGAGTGCATTTTTATTGCTTTTTCATGGTGAAATGACCTCAGGGTTCCAGTGCACATCCACCTCCCCCTTGTCAGAGAGCATGAGGAGGACGAGGAGGAGGGAGGCAGAGATTGTTGCATCACCACTCCGAGATGTAACCAGCTAAGGTCAAAGAAACCTTGGATTTCTGTCATGCTGAGCCTGCCTCACATGCTTAGCCATGAACACGGACAGCATTTATAAAATGGTCTTAGCCAAGGTGACTAATTTGTTTGTGGATCCGAGTTGAGAATTCTTTGCTTTTGTGAAACAGGACATGAAAAGCAAGAAATCTACCGAACTGTCAAACACGAGGACACGGCTTACACTAAATCCTGATCTTTTCTTAGCACTCAAAGCGCTTTACACAACTTGTGCATTCACCCATTTACACAAACACATTTTCTAAGTGCTTTCTAACTAACATTCACACAGACTCATACTCTGACGGATGCATAGGAGAGCCAAGTATCTCCTAGTAGTATCTTGCCCAAGGATATTTGGCATGCAGACCAGGAATTGAACCACCAACCTTCCGATCAGTAAATGACCTGCTCTACCGCCTGAGCTACAGCCAACCCCAACTAATGTTGGGTAGGGAAAATGTACGTTCCCCAACTGGTTGGCGAGTGATTGCTGGAAGTTTGTAGGTAAAACTGTTTTAAAGAGATATTTGGTCTTGCACCAGAAACCTCCAGATTTCAACTGGTGCAGTTGCTTGCAGTTTCCATGGAAGACGCTGATTTGTCTGGAACATTCGGCAACTGCTGATGAAGCTGGAGTGAAAATGAAAAATGTGGCACAAACCAGAAACAGAGATTGTCCGCCTTCAAAAGAAAACATACCTTTTGAAACACGCTGGTCGCACCAGTAAGGGACCACCTTTATTCTGAAAGTGAAATGTCACTATTTCGAGATTGTATTGCACTACCATTCAGCAACCAGTTGGAAAGGTGCAAACTTTGCAAACTACAGGCGACTATTTTAGCAACAGCCAGCGACTTCTGCAACCACCCACCAACCGATTAGAGGATGCACATTTTTCTCCGACAACTGGTGATTGTCAGGCAGTTACTGAGTCCACTTTTTCCCATGAACTTGCAGCAACCAGAGGTCTCACCCCCTGCTGGCCATTGTGAAGAATGCAGCTTTAAAAGAGACAGGTCACCCCAAAATAAAATGACATTTTTTCCTTCTGGTCTGTGTTTAGATTGTTTCGTGAGTTGCCACTGTTTAGACATTCTGGCTTTCAAATGACTTGCCTTCACTTCAATATAGTGGAGCAGCATAGCACTTGTCTTTTGTTATTTGAAGAGCTTTGAAAAACCTAGTAAGAATGTCTCACTTCAGAAATAATGACTTTGTCAACGCTCGCAAACCTTGTTTGAGCAATTTCAAGTAATCACAGTGCACAAAGTATGCATCGGTTTGTGACTGAAGGCCCACAGTTGTGACACAAAAGAAAAATGAGTGATCTAAATTAATGGCTAAAAGTTTACACTGGTTGGCAGCTGTCGTCTACTAATAGTAAGTTTGGCAGATTGATCCCCAACAAAGTGTCCTTGGGCAAGACAATGAATCCCGAATTCCTTTCCATCCGTTCATACATGATCCATCCATCATTCACGTAGAAATGCAGAAGTGCTTTGAGTGCTCAGTAAGAGCAGAAAAGTGTTGTCTATTTGCCTCTTACTTCAGCAAACTTCAGAAAGTAACATAAAATTGCTCAATGAAGTTCTTGTGGGTTCTTTTTCTTTTCTCAGAGTGACTGAGTCATTATTCCTGAAAGTAGACATTCCTACTAAGTTTTTCAAATGCATTTTTGGTCTTTTAAGCACCCCGAGGTGGGTGTCATTTAGTTCCATTATATGTAATATGAGGCAGACAGACGATATCTTCAAAACTGGGCAACTCACACCAAAACAATTCTGATGAATAAACAGCACTACATGCCACAAGAGAAATATGTTCATTTGATTTTGGAGTGAGCACTCTTTTTAAAGCAGTGCTGTGTACTTCTTGGGCTGTGAATAGACCCGACAAACACATACAGACATATGTACTTCATCTTCGAACCCCCCCACGGACAACGCGGACAAAAGTATAATATCTTTTTTGTCACTCGCCTACAATCTTGGACACGAGTGTGGGTGCAGATGTCCGCTGAATCAAACCTGAATTGCGAGGGGGGGATAAAAAATAAAATAAAATTCTGCACAACATGTGCATACGCCAACACACAAAAGGAACAGGACAAAGGAAGAAATTTGGTTGAAGATTGGTCCCAAAATGAGGCGATCTGCTACCACAGCAAGCAAAGAACAAGACAAGTATTCCAAATTTCTCCCTCTATGGGAATGATACGCCGCTTCCTCGGCTCATTCTGCTGCAGCAGTCAGCTTCTTTTCACAAGTCAACTCCCCTTTGTTGTTTTGCTCCTCTACTGTTTCTAGTAAAATCAGTGGAACTATCATGGTGCCTTTAAGCTGCATACAACTTCAAACCATCACACTTAGGGTGGCTCATTCAATTTAGAAAGCAATAACCACCTGGCAAATTGGGTATACAATCGTGCAGCGGTTTTTATTATGTGCATAAATGAGCCAGTGGAAATGGGGCGCGGTGCGGTCGCAAGACTAAATGCGCAAACTGCTTTCATGGACGACATCAAAAACATATGAGGGATTCATCATCTGGGGAGGGGAAACTGCTTTCAGATGGCTAACAGGCCATTTACACACATACACACACAAACAGTGAAGATGCTGCCTACATAACCAAACCATAAAGAAATACAAACAAACCACCTAGCACACAAACAATCACAAATGGACTCCCACTCTATGTGCTTTGCATGCTCTTTACTTCTAAACAGAATGGGAAATTACTACCAGCCATTGCCCAAATGTTCGTAAAATTTGATTAAGCCTGCCAACTTTGTCTCACCCAGCAGCCACTTTGGCAAGTAAAACACTCAATCATTTAGACACCTTTTACTAACACAAAAATCTAGTTGAGTGCTAAACTAATGAAAGGAGCTTGTGAATTCTGGAAGACAGCGGCCACAGTGGCGATTAGACAAAAACTCGTTTCTCGCCATGCTTTGGACCGTCCTAGATGGGAAACTGAATATGCCTATAAATCAGTATCTGTAAATCTATAGCCTCTTTAAAGTCAGCACAGCAAGACATTAAAGCCCTTGCAGATGTGTATCGCTGGGAAAGCCCTCTGTAATCTTGGCGCGACGAAGGCGAGCGTCTCACTGAGGCCGACAGGCTCTAGAGACGGGAGTGGTTCGCCTACAGGATGTTTTCCACTATGCAGCAGCGCTGAGATTTGTGGTTTTACCATAATGCGGACCTCAGTTCTAGATGCTGCTACAAAGCAGATGTTACCTCTGGAAACCAGCTGTGAGAGTGCAAGAACTCCCTCTCAAGTCTAACTTCTCAATGTCTTTCAACTACCACTCATAACGCATTCATGTGTGCGAGCACCGGTGCTACGGGGAGAGTGGGTGTGGCCGGGAGGCAGCTTTCTTCATGTTCTGATGACACTGCAGATTTGGAAAGTTCCCCAAATGGAGGCTTTAAAGTTGTTGAAATTCAAAGTTTTTTGCTTCTTATTAGATTTTCAAAACTTTTTTCAAGTGGAAGGAGAATGTAGGGGTAAGCGGTTAGAAACCAGGAGAGCCTCAAGGGATTTAAAAAGGTATTAAAAATCTCAAAGCAACACCTTTGGTGTCAATCAAAGGGCCCAGTGGATGAAGAAACCAAGATATGCAGTTAAGTCTAGCGAGAACACACTTGACAAGGAGGCTGTCCGTGCAAAAAGTGTGCCCCAAAGCAATCCAATCAAACACGCAACTTGCCGCAATCATTAAACGGAGATATGTGCTTCTCAGGCCACCCCGTCAGCCTGCAAACTTGAAGCTGACGCCCTGAATACGCACGGCCAACAAAAACACCCGAACAGCTCGACTGGTAATTAAATGCTAGCATCTCTCTACAGCTCATCTTGCAGTAACATCATGCCCGGGCCAAATCACTCTGCAGTCTCCGGGCTCCAGTGCATTCAACACTCAGTTGTCAATTCTGCCTGGGAATCCAGTACGAAATGCACGAGGTCTACAGCTATTAAACATCTCGCAATAGCCATGAAAATCACAGCAAGCGTGCCCAAAGGACATTATGATTCACTTAGCTTCACAATAATAATAACACAGACCGAAGTTCAGCAGCATTTTACATGAATCTGAATAGAATATGAAAGTGTTACTTTCCTCCAAATCCCTTGTTAAATGTATCGAGTTTAAGCCTTCAATTTCAGATAACCAACCTGAGAAATGACTCACTATTTAAGACCTCAAATCACCTGGATCACCTGTTTGCTATGTTGATAAATGACTACATAACTTATTTATTGCTCTTTATAGCCTTTGTCTTGATTTGTTAGCCTGGTTTAATTAATGTTGGCAGTGGCCAAACATGAACCAGACCCAAACATGGAACTTCCTTTATTGCATTTTATGATGCAATCTGCACAACACAAACCACAGAAGTTAAAAAAATAAATAAATATATAAATAAATTGAAAAATTCGGAACAAAAAAAAATCTGAACATACTGAAATATTATTTTTATAGTAAAATTTCTGAATTTATATTTTAAGAAATGTGCTTTCAAAATAAAAGTGAGCCAAAGATGTAATAAAAGCTGAATAGTATATAAAAAAGACAAATACATTCAAATCTATTCTTCTTCTATGAGACTCCAACTGCAAGCTCTACCAGTAGGACAAGGCGTTTACAAGCCAGCCAACATGCATTATCCCTCCAGTCCTGGATATGCCCCAGAGTGTTTTCCTGGTTGAACATGCCTGAAACACCCCACCTTCGAGGAGTCCAGGAAGCATCCAAGTCATGCGCCATTTAAACTCACTCTTTTCCAGAGGAGTGGCACCTCTACTCAGAGGCCCTCATGAATGACCAACCTCTTTATCCTATCTGAGGAAAAGCTACAGACACCTTTGGGAGGAAGCTCATTTCCGCTGCTTGAATCTGTGATCTCATTCTTTCGGTTACTAGCCACAGCTTATGGCCATAGGTGAGGCTAGGAAAGTAGATCGACCAGTAAATCAACAGTTTCACCTTCACGCTCAGCTCCCTTTTTAACACTACAGACCGCTACGGCGTCTCCAGCACCAATCCCCCTGGCATTCTCCCACTCCACTCTTTCCCCACTCATGAACCTTGATACGGGATACTTGAACTCCTCCACTTGGACCAGTAACTCCTCCCCAGCCCAGAGAAGGCAATCAAATCTTTTCTGGGTGAGAACCATGACCTCACCCAGTGTGAATTCGCATCCCAGTAGCTTTGCACTCAGCTGTAAATTGCCTCGGTGCGAGCTGGAGGTCGCCTCTCAATGCAGCAATAACGACTACATCATCAGTAAAAAGCACAGGCATGATCCCCAAGACCACCAAACAGGAAACCTTTCACCCCTTGGCTCTGCCAAGAAAT